GGTCTGCTTCTTTTTGTAAACTTTATGTGCCTTTGTGGTTTACTTTTGGGCCGTGAAAACCTGGTTCTTCTAAGCTTTTTAGGTCTGCTTCTTTTTGTAAACTTTATGTGCCTTTGTGGTTTACTTCTAAGCGTCTCGTTCTCTCTTTTGATTTTATATTGGAGTGCCCAGATTGCTTTTGTCTTCAGGAGTTCCCACAGAGGCCCATGTCAGATGAGGATCAGGTTATCTCAGGCTTTCCCCTAAGGTCTGGATCCCTCCAGGAAAGATTTTGGCCTTGGGTTTTTGGGGTTGGACTGGCCTGGGAGCAGGGCCCAGGAAAGATGCTGGTCTAGGGCAGCTAATGGCCATGCCACGCAGAGACAAAAAGGGAGATGGGGGCAGGAAGAGGCCCCAAGGGCTCTTAGGGACTGCACTGAGGTGCTGGGTTGGTCTGGATGAAAAGGATCAGGAAGAGGAAAGGTCAGCCCCAGAGTCCAGGAAAGAGGCTGGCAGGTTGTTCAGACCAGGGAAGCAGAGTGAGGTGAGGGCAGAGCCAGGCCCAGAGGGCTCCTGGGGACCCCAGAAGGAACTGAGTTGGTCTGGATGCAAAGGATCAGGAAGCAGTGGTGGTTCCCCCGGTGCCTAGGGCACCAAGACAAGGAATGGGACAGGACCCAGGCTAGAAGGAGAGACTGACAGGTGAGATGGGAGGGTGAATGAGGCTGGGGGAGTCAAGGCAGGGAGGGTGTGGGCGAGGGCACAATGGATTTACCACAGAGGCCTGCACATCGCGCAGGCCCAGGGAAGCAGAGGCTCAATGCAGTTCTTACTGGCTACTTCATCCTGAAGAAAAATCCATCCTCCTGGATCTTCTGAACTCATAGGAACCTAATCTCACACAGATGTAAAGGAACAAATTGTGCAAAACAGTCACAGGGAGTCGGGGTGAAAGGAACCATTTACCCACTGATGGGCATCTAGTTTGATTCCCAATCTCTTATGACTAGTGCTGCTATACGTAGGGGCACGTATCAGTATGTGCAGGTGCTCATGGAACCCAGAAGAGAGTGTCAGATTCCCTTGGAACTGGAATTACAGGTGGTTGTGAGCTGCCTGACATGGGTGCTGGGAATCAAACTGGGATCCTTTGCAAAAGCAGCAAGTACTCTTAACCACTGAGCCATCTCTTTGATATTATAATTTACCACCTTTAGAAATATACCCCGCAGTGGGATTGGTGGATCCTATGGAAGATCTGTTTAGCTGTATTAATTTACCTTCCTATCACTAGTGTATGAGTCCCTCTTTCTCCACATGGCCACCTGTTATTCTTGATAGTAGCCATTCTAATTGATTTACATTTATTTCCCCAACCTCTTCATCTGCTTGTTGGCCATTGCTACATCTCCTTTGAAAACTATTCAGATTTGTTCCATTTTTATTGTACTTTTTTCCTTTGAAGAACAGTTTTCTTTTTAATGTTTTAAATTAACATAGTCTCATGACTTCACATTTACCCTTTCAGAGAGGAGATCTCTAAAGCCAAAGGAAATGAACCTCAACTTGTGAAACAAGTGAGTAGCCACACCACAGATAAAGTAAGGTTATATTTTCCAGTACTAAAGCATCAAAGTCTTCAGCAGAACACCAGAGAGAGAGAGCATCCTCTGTGTCTCATCTGTTACTGAAGTTGATACCTGAAATAGAGGACTCTGTGGATGGCCAACAGAAGCAGCAGAATGTGTTTTGCTCCCTCTCTCCCTGCTGCCATTGTTCTCCTTCTAATTCTTGGAGGTAAGGCATATTTTATATGCTTTTAAGTTTTCCTCATGAGAAAGTAGAAGTCTACATAGGTTTAATTTATGCTTGACATTACATGAAAAAGAAAAGTACATTATAATTTCTTATCATTTTTAGTGTTACCATTTGTCTTTGTCACTTAAAGGACACACTGGCTTTTAAAGAAAACATATCCTAGGTGTCTATAGCAAAAGCATGAAAGCATCATCTACATCCGGTGGCTCTCACGAATCCAGACCAGATCTATGGAACAGTCTTTAAGTGAAAAACTGCCGGTGCTATTAAATTAGAGATGTATGAGTTACCTAATAACTGACCTCCCAGTCACAAATGCAACTGAACGCTCTCGTTTAAAAGTCTTACAATTTTTAGTTTCAGAATTTATTTGTAGATGTGTTCATTTCTACTTGTGGAATGGTGAAGAAAACCATTACATCAGTGTAAAATAATCTTTGGAACTGCACACACACACACACACACACACACACACACACACACAGTTTTTTTAAAAAAAACTCACAGATGAAAACAGCAGTATGCTAATTGCTCCACGTGTACTAATTCACTTAATCTTCTTAGTATCATTGCTACCAGCTCCATTTTATATATTACAAAACCAAGACTAGAAAGGTTAATAAATGCACCAAAGTATACCATGTAGTTAGTTGTGGGGCTGAGACTTAAACTTGGGGTCCATGTTCAATGATATCTTCAGAACTAGAAGCTTTGGGTTTTGGTTTTCCTTTGGAGACAGGGTCTTACTATGTAGCCGAATGGCCTTGAATTCACAGAGTTCTGCCTGACTCTACCTCTTAATGCAGAACTGAGGTTTTGACATAAGATCTGTGAGCCTGTTCAAGGGCATGTTTAGACATCAGAAAGTCTGTGAATCCCCAAACCATATGTAAGTATTTACTAACATGTGTGTACTTACCTTATTAGATTTGCATAACTCTGTAAAAGAATTTAAAACAAAGAAATAAAAGATAACAAGTAAGGAACTATTACTTTAGGACACTGTGCTTCTCAGTGGAAAAATATGGATGGATTTTGTATTATGTAAGACTGAGTTAGGACACCACTTTATCATTTTTGTCTGTGTGTTCTCAGGCAAGTTAATGGCCCTGTCCAAACTTACCTTTCTCATCTACCTGGAAATAATACTACCCACCTTCCATTGTAATTAGTATTATGGCCAGTGTCAGTAATTATGTAATTATGGCCAGTGTCAGTCACTAATGGCTGCCTGGTAAATCACAGATGCATCATTATTATTGTTACTGTAGGTTCTGAGTATTTTTCTTCACTTTTAATATAATTTGCTAAACTATCACCACATCTAATAAACTTGCTATGAAATGCTGAGACTTTTAAGGCTTATCCCCCCAGTGTCTATCCTGCAGGGGGGGCTAGCTAACAGACCATGGATGGCAGGTGGTTAGACTGGGTTCTTCAACCTCTCTGTGTCCTAAGTTTTAAGAAATTGCCTGATGCTTGAGGCCTGCATTTTAAGTAGAGATGAGAAGGTACTTTGTAGTCATAGGGAAAAATTCAAGATACAATTATGCAGAGCAATCTCAGGAAATTATAGAAGCTAGGATAAACCTAACCTAACCTAAGCAACAAAAAGAATGGCAGTAAGAATGGCAGGTTAAGTTGGAGCTTTAAAAAAAAAATCACTTTGTTAACAGACACATTGATCCAGTCTGGCTCTGAAAGCATGTTAAATCTAGATTGCAGAAGAATTTAAACACACTGAATACTACTCTATGGGGGGGCGGGTCCTGTTTCCTTCTTATAGTCCCCTTTTATTTATGTAACTGTGAAATCTCCTCTAGCCTCAGCTGAAAGTTCCTGCACCTTCCACCCTCCTTCAGGAAGATTTAGTAACCTCCCTGCCAATAGAATATTTCCATGGCTCCAAGTTCCTGAAGCTCCTCACTAATACCTGCAACAGGAACTTGCTATTTTCATCTTCCTAGTCCTTATGCTCTTGGATGGGGAGAACTGTGTTCCATTCATCTCTTGGCCCATTTTAACAGTAGCTACTCAAAGACTGTTAAGGAACAATTGCATGGAAAAATGGAATGAGTAGGTAAATCAATTAGAAGAGGTACTCGCATGATTTCAACCTGGATTAAAAGTGCAAGCTGAAGGGCTGGAGAGTTGGCTCAGCAGTTAAGAGCACTGATTGCTCTAGAATAGGACCAGAGTTCAATTCCCAGTACACACATGGCAGCTAACAACCATCTGTAACTCCAGTTCCAGAAAATTCAATGCCTTCTTCTCACCTCCCTCTGAGGGCACTGCACGACATGGGTGCACTTACCTACATGCAGAGAATACATTCATATACATAGAATAAAAATAATAAATTTCTAAAAATATTTTATTATTTTTTATTTTATGTGTATGCATGTATTGCCTGCATGTAAGTAAGTGCACCTGTATCGTGCAATGCCCATGGAGGTCAGAAGAGTTGTCGGATCCCCTGGGACTAGAGTTATGGACAGTTGTTAGCTGCCATGTGGGTACTGGGATTCAAACCCAGGTCTTCTGCAAGAACAACCAGTGTTCTTAACTGCTGAGCCATCTCTCCAGCTCACAAATAAAATATTTTAAGAAGCCCAAGCTGAAGGGCTGTTAATGACATAGCTGTTGTCTTTCCCTTTGGAGCACATTCATCTTCTGTTCTTTAACTTGCAGCATTTCTTTTGCAGACCTGTCTTCCCACCCACCTTTTTTTAGCTGTCTTGCCTCGTTGTCTGATCTGCAAAAATAATAAACAAAGGAAGAAAGACAAAAATAAGCCAAAACTATTAAAAACCTATGACCTTAGTATTTACAAAGAGACTGCGGTGTGCAATGCAAACTCATTACCCAGGAAGACAACTAACATAGGGCTTAGAAAACAAGCACAGTGGGTTGTTTCTTTATAGATAGATTGATTGGCCCAAAGGGCACTTTTTCTTTTCCAGGTGTTCAAATGCAAAGGTAGTTTTACCGACACAGGTACATGTTTTAGAAAGTTTGTTTCCGTACAAACTGAGGAGAAAGGCTGTCTGATACTAAAGCCAAGTCCTGGGGGGTCCCAGATGCTGCAGACCCCATCTCCCCTACTCCCTTCCAGTACTCTAGCTTTTGGCCACTGGTAATCAGGGCTGTCTCCAACATGTGTTATATGGCTCTTGTGAAATGCTTTCTGCTGGTGATAACAGCCCACAGGGTCAACAGGAGAAATTACTGCTTTCTAGATACATTCAGTCCTCACCTTCTCTGGGGACCACTTGCATACAAATCGGGGGTGCTTACTTAAAAAGCATGCTCCCTGGTTCTGAACCATTCTCCAAGTTAGGTCTAGGGAATCTTCATTTAAAATAAGGGCTCTAGGTTATTCTTGTGACATTGAGAAACATCGTGCAAAAAGAAAAGCATTTCTACATATTTCTCATTTTTACTCTAATGAGGGAGAGATGGATAAAAGAGGGGAAATAGACTGGAGAGGGAGACAAAGAAAGAGGAGGCAGAAGGAGGGAGAGAGAAGAGGGAGGGAGAAATAAGAGACAGAGAGAGAATATCAATTTAAGCACGTAGTATAAAAATCATTTAGAAGTCCAATAGGCATTTTTGCTTATAATAAAACCAAACCAAAGCCTGTCATGGTGGTACATGCCTATAATTCTAGCATGTGGGAAGCAAAGGCAGGAAGATTAGGAATTCAAGGTCAGCCTCAACTAACAAGTTCAAGGGCAGCCTTGGCTACAGGAAACCCTGACTCAATAAAAACAAAGCAAGCATTAAATTGAGCTTGGTGCATTACCGAGCTGCTTTCCCTGGCACAAGACACATCTAAGAACTTGCAGCGAATCTCTTACTGTTATCCAAGCTTTTTTTTTTTTTTTTTTTTTTGAGTCAAGGGTTATTACATAAGATATGATTTCACTCTGGATCACTCTCTTAGTTTTTCCAGACTCCTGTAAGGGAATCATAGGAGGAAAGGAAGTTCCATCTCATGCCAGACGCTACATGGCTCTAATCAAAGGACTGGATAACTGTGCAGGGACTTTGATCAAAGAAAACTGGGTGCTGACAGCCGCTCACTGTAACTTGTAAGTCATCTCTGCTCCTCTTGTTTCCCAGGTTAATTCATCAAGTTCAAAACCAAAATATGGGTGGAATGGGGGAAAAGTGGGTATGCACAGCCAATGTTATGTCTTATTGTAATATTTACCTCTATAAGCAAGGGCCAGAGAGTATGGGATAAGGCTGAAATGTATGACCATTCTCTCACATCATTTCAAAGTGACTTTTTTGTTTGTTTGTTTGTTTGTGTTTCACTACAAGTAGCAACAGTAGTTGAACTTGGAAAGACAGAGATTGTAAGAAATAGTTCTCAATCTCATCACCCCACACAATCACTGTCAGTATTTGTTCTATACTTTGTTCATAAGCAAATTCTACACAGTCAAGCAAGTTGAATGTCTTCTCTGATTACAGACGGTTTTCTCCCCACCATTGGTCTTTCCTATCCTAATATGACATATTAGAGAGACCCACAGGAAAGTACTACAAAATAGCACTATGTGCAAAATCCTATAGCTGAGACAAATGGTGTGAGTCGTCATTCCAATGACAGAGAAGTATTTATCATGTGGAGATGCTGTTTTTGTAACTGGTACCTGCTGTTGGTAACCAGTACCTGGTTTTCCCTGTACAAATTGTATTTAGTATAAATTCATACTAAATTTCACTCTAGTATAAATTGCGTAAAACAAAGAAGCAGCTTAAAATTTGGGCTTTCCAAAAGGAAATGCAATCTGTTGTGGTACACATAAAAATTTGTTAAGTAAGAAGATCACACAATTTACACTGTGAACAAAGTTATCCAATGACAAATTTATTAGTGAACAGGACTGTTTGATACAAAGTCTGCCCAACAAATCAGGATATGGTTTTCCCTACCTGCCTTGAAATAGCTATCATTAGGATCATAAACTAGACTTGTAGCTAACTCTAGTTTCTTTTTTCAAAAGTTATCTTTTATTTATTATTTGAAAATTTTGTTCATCTATACAATATATCTTTTTCAAACAACATTTTTATTCTTTGAAAGTTCCATACATTTATATAATGCATATTGAGCATATCCATGTATCACTACGTCCTTCCAGCTCCCCCTAGTGCCACACTCTGCCACATCTCCCTCCCAATTTCACATCCTCTTTTTTTTATTGTCATTAACAAACCTCTGAGTCCAGTTAGTGCAGTCCATGTGAACACGGGCATGGGGCTATCCAATGAGGTCTGAGCAACCTACCAATCACCACATCCTCAAAGCAAAGTGAATCTCCCTTCCTGGTAACCATTAACTGCCATTATCTCTTCTTATAAGAGTGAGGCTTCCGGGAGCTTCACTCCATCCATGGGGGGAATATTGATTGGCTTGCTTATCTTATGTACATCTTCCACAGATAACCACAGCTGCTGTGAGTTGATAGGTTCAACAGCCATGTTATGTCCAGAAGTCAGTGTGCCACAGCTCTCCTCCCCATTCACTGACTTACATTCTTTCTGCCTTCTCTCCTGAGAAGTTCCCTGAGCTTTGGATGGTGTACAATGGATATTGATCCTATCCACCCCAAATTCCTCTTGGACACCCCCCAACATGTCCCTTTCCTGCCTTTATGCTTTCTTCTTTACCCCCAGTGGTCCCTAAAACAGCACTGGCTGTTGTCATCACTCTTGGTAACTAGATAGTAAGACTCTGTTGCTGAAGACACACACACTTTGGTAGCAGGACATAGAGAAATCCAACCAGCTTGAGAGGGGTGTGTGTGTGTGTGTGTGTGTGTTTTGTGCACGTCCGTGTTCGTGTCTCGGAAGAGGGTGTCTATGTATGGATTAGGGTAGGGTGTCTCTGGGTGTCTGTGTTTCTGTGTTCGTCTGTGTCTGCACAAATCTCAGCTTTATGCTTTCACTATAGAACCATCTCTTCCAGCTTCTAAAAGCATGTCTCTAGCCAACCTTTCTTATCTTCGAATACTTCATCAAGGCACAGAAAAGCAAGCCCATTCTGCTCTAGCTCTTTAGTCGAGTCTCTTTCACTGATGTCATCGATCTAGAAAGCCAACAGGAGGAAGACTTTCACCCTTAAATTCAAACTAGCTGGAGAAATAGCTTCTCCTTGGGAACACAGAACCCAGCTATCCCTCACTGCCTTCCACTGCCCTGCACTGCCCATCAGGGGTCACTCCTACTCCACTTCCTCTCTGGGCCTCCCCAGCTCATGTTATTTTCTAGGCCAGAGACTTCCTAGTTGCTTTCTTAAATAGATGCGGGCAACCTGAATGTGTCCTGATATATAGGGGGAGTCTGAAGTAGAAGACACCAAAACACCAAAAGAAAGATTCCACAAGCCTCCACTCCATTTTGTGCTTGTCTGGAAATAAAAAACCATCTGCAAACTGATCAGACTGAGGAAATTAAGCCCATAATTGAGTTTATTGTATTCTATTACCTAAATTATATGTTGTTCTTTTCAGGAAGGGCAAGTCCCAAATTATTCTTGGGGCCCACACTGCATCTCAGAAAGAGAAACTGGAACAAGTATTTTCCATTAAGAAGGCAATTTCTTATCCATGCTATGATCCAGAATCCTTTCAAGGGGATCTTCAACTTCTGCAGGTAAACATGCTTTGTTTGTTGTTGTTGTTATTGTTTTGTTCGTTTGGGGTTTAGGTTTATGTTTCTATTTTGTTGTTTTTCCTCTCCTAACTTTAATTAAAACATCAGGGTAACCCGAAACCAGTTTACACACACACACACACACACACACACACACACACACACCCACCCCACCATCACAGGCTGGCTAATGCTGGGTATGTGAGGCTCCACAGCTGGACAGGGAGCCAGCACCTTGTCATGGGTGTTCCTTCCCATTCAACTCAACTGTTTCTCACAAAAGAACACTAAGAGCCCACTCACGGTGAGAATGGTTTGTGCTGACTGATGCTCACTCCACAAGGGAGACTCACTCTTCACTCTGAAAAACTATTAGAGTAGACTTGGTGAGAGGACATGTGATAGGCCTTATTATAGGACTCGAGCTGTCTAGCAATCTGCAGCAAAGGAACTAAGACTTTGCTCTGAATCAGGTGTTGTCAGAGAGTGGACTAATTTTATGATGAGGCATCTTAATAAATCTTACCTAGGAAGCAGAAAGAAAGCAGCCAACGCTGTAATTGTAAGGAAACACCCATCGTGGGTTTGGACACTGGCGAGGTATTTCGTCATTTGGGGATTGTGGACATTGACATCAGTTTTGTCGCTACGCAAATGTGACTACAGATCAGATATTTGCTCATTTCATTGGGCTCAGCTTGCCTCAACATATTGTGAGGGAGCTTATGAGCAACCAGATAGATAAGGCCACCACTGAATGGTTAGTGCAGCCTGCCTGCCTCTTCTTCAGAAGAGAAATTGTAAGCAGGACTTCCCCTGAAGGTATTCAGAGTCTGGAGGGACAGACAGATAATCCTCCAGCTCTGATCTGTTAGTGTTCTGCTCATCCATGACCAGAATAACTGAGAAGAGGACTCCATGGAAGCACCTGGGGAGAGCACAATCAGGGACACCTGCTGGTAACCATGAAAAAGGAAGGGTGGGCCTTTCCAAGCAGGACTATAAAGGGGACCATTCGGAGGAAGGGGAGAGAAGCAGGAGGTAGGATGAGATTTAAAATTAAGGGATCAACGGGGCATAGACCACAAACCCAGGTTTTGTAAACCTTGGTCAGAAGTTTGAACATCATGAGAAAGGAAATTGGGAAGTGTTTGAAGCAGGACAGTGATTTGGCTAGGCTTTTAGAATGATGCTTCTGGCTGCTATGCAGAAAGAAGGAAGGAGGAAAACAGGACCTGGAGAGTGTGAACAGAAGGGGCTCACAAGTGGTGAGCTTCATAACAATAATTAAGAGGGTGCTCAGAGGCTCCATACATCCTCGCCATTGGGAGAAAGAGAGTCACAGAGCCTCTGACGAGACCTCTACCCTCCTTGTCCCCAGTATATAATTCTTACAGCCTAAACCCTCCTACTATCTGCCTAGAGACCATCAGGCCTAACTGTCCCTCAGGTCACTTCTCATCCCTACGCTAATCCCCACCCTATGGCACTGAATGGCCAAAGCCAATGGTTACCCTTCAGGTGGCATTTGTTCTTCTGCCTCCTTCTTGAAATATGAGCAGCTTTTTTTTTTTTTTTTTTTTTTGGGCTGAATGGTAAAGCAACTTAAAACAAAGCTGGGGGAACATTTCCAATACCAAAAAAAAAAGAAGATGGAAAACACCCACACCA